TTGTAAAATGCTACTTTAATTTTGGCTTTTTCGTAAGTGTGTGTAACTTTTTATTTATTGCTGCCTGATAGAATTTCTTATTCTATGCACATGCATATCTAGTTCCTGTCGCATTTTCTAATGAAGGGTGAGGGGAGAAGCACAGCAGAACTGGCTCTGGTATCACCAGTGAAGAGGGATGTAAGAGTTTAGAAAGGACTTTGCAGTCGCAACCTAAAATTCTAGTTTCTGGAGCCAAGCAGTGAATACACATGAGACTGAATCCTAGATATATATTTTAAAAAAAAAAAAAAAAAAAAAAGAGTGTAACCAAAAACAATGAAAAGGTTTGCGAATGTGGCTTGTGCAGGAATGTTTGGGGGGGGAATTTGTGGAGGAATCTGGGGGCTCTCCGCTCCTCCCGCTGCTGGTGTTGCTCAGGAGTAATAGGAAGGAAGATAAAATAACTATATTTTGTCCAAACTGATCAAGTTACAACAGGAGAACTGTAATTCAGCTAGTGTGTCAGTTAGGATATCATCTCTTGATTTCAGGCTTTCAATCCTGCGTGTTATTGGCTCTGCTGACAGCAATGGGAGACAAATGTCTCTGCTGTTGGCAGGAACAGAGGAATTCACACAGGCATAGTGTGACAGAATTCCCCACATAAAAATTATCCTTGCTAATATAATATAATCATCCTTTAATGAAGTGGTCCTGCAGTTCCCAAAGGATGTATTAAGTGAAGACTATGCTTTCATCCCACTGAATTATCAGTGTATTTAGCGTGCCAGTCACACCAGTGCCGAGGTGTCACCATTATCCATTGCTGCTCTTCTCCTTTTCAGGCCTGGTTTTAATTTCCTTTCCACCTTTGCAGCTTAAGTCGGGTGAGAAAGAGGAAAATACGCCACGTGAGCCCACTTACATTTTTATTTGTTGCAAAATGTCCATGATTTAAAAGCTAGTGATCAATTTAGTTGACCTAAATGTAGAGCCAAATTGAAAAATGTATCCTCTGAGCATGTGCAGTATTGCAAAACTACTGGCTGTATGCATTAATGCCTTTTTATGTTGGTGGTTCATTGGAAAAACATCTTGAGTACTTATTTCTGCACGTATTCTCACCCTGCTCTAGCTGCCGCTAGTCAAGAGGACTTGCCCTACACTTTTTCTGTCTTTCTGACTTGCAAGCTGTAAAGGGCCTTGTTCACCGGAGTTTGAAACTCTGGCAAACGCTTTGCTGCAGCTCTATTAAGGATGCTACAGCATTCCCAAGTGTGGTTGAGTCTGCCTGAAACTGCTGAGCTGGCATTTCACTTCAGACGGTGTTCACAATAAGGGCATACACACAAATCCTCCCCCACCGGTCTAACCCCAAAGCTTACAATTAAATGGCCTTTGAAAATGGCAAAGAGGCTTACGAAGAATAGCCTCGATGGAATCTAACCTTTCCTGGAGCTGCCCTTGTGTGCAGAATTGTTGATAACTTTCCGAGCTGAAAACTCTCAGTTGAGAGGCAAGCGCCTTTTAGCTGGAGTGAAATAGCTGCAGCCTTCTTGTGTTCTGCATGTAAAGTATCAGCAAAACCTTCCCTGGCTCGGTACGGGCACTCAACCTCTACAGAAATCACAGCGAGCAAGGTTCAGTTCCCTTTAAAACCCTTGCTTTTTCTTGCGAGAGCGCAGAGGTGTAGCGACAGCTCGCCAGTCTGTCACCGGGTCTGGTCGAGGGTACGAGGCTGAGCGATCTCTGCTGAATTGCCGAGGGTGGCCGTAGCAGCTGGCCACGGGGCTCTCTGCCCAGCGGGTAGTCACTGCTGGGAAGGTGGCAGGGGCAAGAGTTAGGGTCTCTCCGGACTTGACTTTTATAGCCTAAAGAAAGGGGTATTTCCTTTAAGTTGCAACTGAGTTTGTAAGTAAAGCAAAGGGGGGAAAAGAGGGGAAATGTACCTGCCCTGCACGTTCAGTCTTTGTCACTTGCAGGCAAAGCAAGTAAAATCATTCCTTACAAAATGTACATCTCCAAGGGAATTAATCTTACACCGTGAAACAAAAGCACACTGAGTAGTGGTTTGGGATTACTGGTATTAAGAATATCTGAAAACAGTTGGAGTCCAATGTTTCTTTGGCAATGGAAATTTTATTTACAAGATCTTGGGAAAATCAATTATGTCTTCTCAGGAAGATTAGTAAATGCCATAAGCTTAAACCATACACACTAAATTCACTGATACATGGTTAGGCCTTACCATAAAACATTAAAATCAAAAATCAATAAATTACTCATCCATGTAATGTTGATTAGTGATTAACCGTAGTAGTTTTCCACATCTAAGATGATCCTTTTGTTCTTCTGTCTAACACAGGCATGGGATTCCATAATCCTATACAGATACACCTTTGCCAGCTATCTGATGGCTTTTCAATATTTTAATGGGGATTCAGTGCCTTTGAAGTCTACCAGGTTAACAGCTACGGAGTCTGAAGTGGTCTAGTTTATCCATAGAACAATCTGGGGCTGCCAAATTAGTTTCATAGGGAAAGTCAGGCAGATTATTTTCAGAGGTTTCTTGTAGCTGTGTGCCCAAGTCCTTTTTCTCATTTTTACTACATGATTTGGCACAGAAACTGTGGTACAGTTGCGATTCGGCCATCCCCCACTTCTGGGGCTACCTGCTGTGGGGAAGCAAGCCAGGGTGTTCAGGCTCATGCCTGGGGAACCACTGATCCGGGCCTGACAAGGGGTGCGAACAAACTGCAGTCCCGGGTCTGTGTGTGTGAATGTTTATTTGGGTCTGCAGTCCGTTCACCTAAATGGTGGCATCTCTGGCTACAGGGTTCTTCTGTGATGATTACGCTCCCTTCCTCTTTTCCTTTGGCATGCTGTTGTATAAGCAGAGGCTTCAGGTAGCCAAGTTTTTAGGGACTCAATGTGTAAACGAAACTGTTTCTGTTTTTCTTAAAAAATGCACTTTATACCTGGGTATGGGAAAAGCTGCTGGTGCTAACATTCTCTCTGCAGAACCTGCCCATACCAAGTGTGGTAGGCGATGTGGGAGCTCAGGTGTAGGTGGCTCAGATCCGCAGGTTTTCACTTGAAGCTACCCAGTTTCTGCATTTAAAAAAACCAGACCAGGCTCAGATTTCTGAATGTGATTGCAGGCACCTCCCTTTGCAGGGCTCATTTTTTACCGGAGCAAAGAACAAGACTGCTTTTGCTCTTCTGGTGTCCTCCTCCCTCTTTCACTGCCTTCAGCCACCGCAGGAATTAAGAAGGGGAGGGGATGCTGAGGTTGATGAGACAAGGCTTGTTTAAAAGCCTGTGCTCAACTAGGGCAGCACTATGGCAGCATTTTTTCCTTATGCTTAGCACTTGTGATCCCTTTCATTCTTTCTTGCAGTTTCGGAGCAAAATCTGGAAATATTATATATAGTAAGCTACTGAATATATGGAGGTTACTGGGCCAGTTAAGTATTCCATGGATCAAATAAATAGCTTGTCTTTTAAGACCAAAATTAAATCATACTAAGAAAACATGTCACGATTTTCTTTTTCCCTTGAGTAGGGGTGGTGTTGAAGTGATTCATTGAAAATTTTATCCGTTCTTAGCCTATAAAGGGTAAAGATGTATTTGGGAACATTGCTGCCTCAAAAAGAGAACTCAAGGACCGGTTGTTCTCTAAAACAACCTCTTCATACCAGTCTTCCAGCACACAGTTGGGTGTACAGGTGCGTTCAACCCGCTGGCTGGGTTGTGGTTTAGTCTCTTGGAGCTGGAAGGTGTGTGCTCCAGGAGCTCCACAGCACTGTGGGTCAGGTCCTGCTCTCCTGCATATTTTCTCCCGAATGATGTGTGCATTTTGGAACCAGCATGTCTGCTTCTTAAGTACAGAAATTGCAAATGTGATTGCTAGCAACTGTGTGCTACGTATGCTTTTCAGAATTTTTTTTATGAATACTCATGGGCATCTTTTAATGTAGCTGAACTCTGTATGAACAGGACTTCATTGGCGACAGGATAGATAAAGAGAGTTTTCTTTCAAGTTTTCTACGTTAATGGAAACATGATCACGTTAGCTATGCTGTCATTAAAAAAAATCATAAAATGTGTAACCTTAGGAGACACGAGTTGCTACTACACCCGCTAACGCTTTATTTTGTTGGCTTTCTCACACTGCATGTCTTTTGGCAACATGTTGTGTTGCAAAGCTGAAGAATGCTAGCCTCAATGCGGAGATTGTCCAATTTACATTCTAGTCATACTGCAGCGTTTCATAACCCCGCTTTAGCTTTTCCCTGGCTTCCCAACAGCTCTGCCGCCTGACACTGCGCAGGGACCTCCAGGGCAAGGGAAAGGGCCTGGGGGTCCCAGGGAACAAGAGGAGCAGCAATAGTCTTTGCTAAAAGAGACTGTCAATATGGGGGGTGGAACGCGTTGGCCTGAAAAGCAGTGTAAGCTGGTGGTGGGTCAGTGGGATGTTGCATGGGGATTTTAGTGCAGATGTTTGGACCGAAAGGAAGGGTTGCAGCCGCTGCATTGGGTAGCTCTTACCTAACACGTGGGAGAGAGCACATAGAGTAAAGCAGGCCAAAAATACCATGGATCTCAGTATCTGGTCAGAATTTCCATAAACGCTGTAAGAACTAAGTCCTCGTAAGTGTCTGGCCTCAAGTCTGGAGAAACTGGAGAATGATCCGAATGAAACGAAGACTGTTTAAGAATTGGTCAGCGTGCTTACAAATTCCCCAAAACATTATGGCATATGTGAATACTTGCTGTCTTTTTAATATTAGCGTTACTTTTAATTTTGTTTCTTGAGCCCATGCCTAAATAAAGCGCCCCGAGTTAACGCCTCATGTTGAAAGAAGACGAGCCTGCTGCTACTGAGACCCCCTGCCAGAGCAGCTCAGGCTGCTGGCGGTGGTCTGGCACTGTGCTCTGATGTGCAACCTGGATCACTCGCTGTGCGATGGAGAGAGCAATTTTACTTTGCTAACTTTCATGTTTTGTATTGTAGCCATGAGACGCAAACAACCTGCTGGGATCATCCCAAGATGACTGAGCTTTACCAGTCTTTAGGTAAGACACCTCTACCAGTTTGGTTTTTTCCCAATCAATTGAATTTTTAAGGCAAAGATTTCCAGAAGTAGTAAAAAACAAAATTAAGTGAAAGCAAGAGGCAGTGCTTTTATCAAGGTTAAAATTTTCTGCAAGGGAAATACGTAAGGCATAGTAACACATTTCAAACAAACAGTGGAAAAAATATTTCAATTAGCACGTTTGGAATGCGCACTGGGTTTACGGAGTAATTTGGGTGCATTGTTGCAAACTCTTACTGAAAGACTGGGACAGAAATTAAAATATTCAAGATTTTTTTTTTTTAACTGTCTAATCTGCTTTACAAAAGGCAGATGAAGAAAATCAAGCTAAGCTGCTGTTAATGTTGACTTTTGGATGGTAGGAAGCCAATTGAAGCAATTTGCCAAACAGCGTTACCACTGCTTTATTTTTAAAGCACTTTCAATACTTGGAAGGCATGGCAGCTGTCATGATGTCATTTTGAATACCCAAATTGCATGCTTATTATGACTTCAGATGTGCCTCTCTGGTGGAGGGTTTTTTTTTATTTTTTAGCAGCTTTGGATTTTATTAACAGAAGGACATCTATAAGATAAAATAGGTCAATCCATGCTCTAGTATACGCTGCTTGGCAGACCATTTAATAGCTAACTCTTTGCTTTTAATGATTCTGTTAATAAATAATAGAGGGTATAATAAAAATTAAGCTATTTCTCCAAAAGAAATATCAGTCAATATGCTGCATTCATAAAGGAGGTTATGTCTGTACAGCACACGTACATAAACTGGCTTTAAACAAGCCAGCTTGAGCACTAGGCCAGTCAAATCTAGCATTCAGTGCAGACTTATTTACCGTGGTGAAAAATAGCTTAAAGAATCTTCTGCTAAACTCTAGTTTAGCTGCTGAAAACAGTCTAATTATGCCAGCATAATCTCTTTCAAGCTAACTCAGGTATCTCTATAGTGCTTTGCAGGTAAAGGCATATAAAAAATCTTCTAGAAAAGTGATATGATAAAATGGAATGAAACAGTGCGAAGATTTTTTCCTTACAGTATTAGCACGGTGGCAGCAATTTGTTTAAAAATTAACCAGAATACAGCTCTGTATGTCAAAAAGGGATGTAAGATGTATAAGTTCAGGCTAACCAAACGCAAAAGCAGGCAAGTATTGACTTGCCATTTAATTAGAACATATTGCCCTGTTTGTCTCCTTTATATTTCTGCTCTTAGAGTGGTTTAAAAGATTCAGGACAAATAGTAATTGCACATGCAGACATCCCTTTAATACAGGTAGATCTTCAAACAGTTGCCTGTTAATTGAACCGCACTCTAACTCCACAGCCTTCTTTGATCCAGAGATTGCATGGTATTTCTGATACTCTTGTTGGTCAGACATAAAGTCCTGTTGCAACAGCTTTTTTTGTGGTATTTCCCTGTTCCAGCTAGAGTACTCTTGAATGTCAAGAAGTGAAGAGGTAACTATATATAAGGGAGAAAAGCATCCTGATGGGTCCAGGCCAACAGTTCAAAAGATGTGTGACTGCTGAAGGCAGTTTGCATTTAGTTTAACTTAGTTTATCACCATGAGTATCACCCAAATGTCAAGAGTTTAAGATATCCTTATTTCTTACTGCATAAAGAAGGAACATGTTTAGACAGATTTTGTTTCTTTTTGTTTTTCTTGTAAAATCCTGCTGTTTTCCTTTTCAGGAGCAAGGAAGGTCCAAAAGGACAGTCCTCTTTCGGCTAGTTTTATTTCTTTTGGGGTTGAGACCAACTGCTCATCAATATGGAAGCAACGCTGATTTTGGCAAAGGATGCATAATGTGTATTTTTGTTAGTAAACTTAGGTGTTCATATATGTCTACAAAGACAAGGTGATTCTGTGTGCACTGCCACATGGGGTGAAGCTTTGATAAAAGTGCTACTGAATAACCTACCAATTTATTTTAGTTTCTTTTTGAATTGGGTGTATTCATCATTGCCTAACTCTCATACAAATTGCATAATACAAGCATAACCCGTTTAGTCTTGAGCAGAACCCTTGATGTATTTTCAGTGCTTTGCTTTGCCTCAGGTCAAAACGGTAATAGGGGGATGTTTGAAGTCTTTTCAGACTGTTTAGTAATATTTTATCTGAGAAGATATTATTAAAGTTGATTTGTATTGCATACTCATTAGATCCTATTATTTTTCTCCACATTAGGATCCAAATTTTGCTTCTCATTCATATAAAGAAGCTAGTAAAGAGCTTAGTATGTATGCATTTTAAAAATCTGGTAGAAAATGTGAATTCTGCAGTCCAGGTAAATGCAAAAAAGTGAGATGAAGCACATCAATGCTGTCAAGAGTTTTCATTTCCGTTTTCCAACTCCTACACTTAGCCTGTAGGGAATAATTGAGCTATGTGATGTAGCTCTCTGTACATGCCAGTACATCATAATTTGCTAGGGGATCCTTATGTCTAATTTGAATTCTTACAAATTACTGAAAGCTTATTTTTTTTTTTTAAGTGAATGGGGAAGATGCAACCTGGCACAAGGTAATGTTCCTCATCTGCCTATGTCTTTGAGACACAAGAGACACTTCTGTAAAAAGAAGGAGCAATATTAGTTTTATTCTTCACATGTCCTATTCAAACACCTAGAAATTGCTGTGTTGCATTTTGCTAAAATAGATGAATTCCAAGTTTCAAACTTACTGGCTCAGCTTTCTGTCTTTAGAGGTTTGGGTATTTATAAAAATGAAGCTAAATTACTTGGAAGCATTATTTGGTATTAAGAAAAGAAGGCAGAAACATGCGTACACTTTTGTACCTCATTAGACTGTTGGTCCAGGAAGTCCTGCGTCCTGTCTTCAGTAGGGACTGCATCAGAGAAAGCAGAAAGAACCCATAGGAAGAAATTATGAAATAAGCTGCCCATGAAGGAAGTATTCTCAAATTCTCTTCTAGCTCATTTGTTGAAACGTGGCCATTTAGAAGGATACTAGTAATAACGATAACAATTTTGATTTGAGATTTAATATGTGTATCAGAAATTTCTAAGTGGTTGTTCTTTTAACAGAAGCTTTTCCTTTTAGGATACTAAAGTGCTTACTCTGGACTGCTCCTCTTTATTATTTAAACAACATAGCAGTTTTATCTGTTTTAATGAAGCATCTGTTCCTGACTCAAGTTGGGCAATTGTCACTTTTCATTCAAAGTTATGGCTACTTAAAGGTACATAATGAACTGGCAATATTAAATGACTTAATTGTTGTTTAATGGTCAAGTCAAAATGGCAACAGGTAGTTGCAACAATGACCTTAGCTGTATCTTTTAGTGTATCTAGTAGATGTTGATATAGTTTGACTAGTTATATAAACTAAAAACATAGAAAAAAACCCAAACACTAAAATAGAAGAGGTAGTAAAAATCAGTGATGTGTGAGCCTCAAAGGTTCAGAGTCTGACAGACATCTCCCGGTTTGTATTTACACCATTGTGAACCACTCCCATTTTCTTCTAACTTCCCTCTGAAAGTCTTCAAAGTACCAAGAACCGCTCCAGCTGCTTTTCCTTCCAAAAGCAGTTCCCCTGCAGCAGATCTTTTTTATACTGCGCTTTTACAGCCCCCTTACAAATTTTCTCATTCTTCATGGTGGCTCCAGGGCATCACTGAAATGAGAATTGGTGTTATTTCATTGTCCTGGAGAGTTCAAGGACCTTTGGGTGAGGGGAGGGGTGGGAAGAGCAGGAATCAAAGTGCTCTGGGATTGCTTAATTTTTTTCAGATTATCTTCTGAGAGTGAACATTTAATGGCAGGCAGTTTAGCTCAGAATGACAGTATTTTGCCTTTAAGCTGAAAATGACTCTAACCTTTGCAGTGATGGCCCAGGAGAACTTTGCCTGTCGTGCCATACTGTTAGTGTCCCCCTCCTACAGCCTTTCCACGTAATGTCAGTACGAGCCTCCTCGAGGTGCATTAGTGTCACTGTGAACAGTAATTGCAGTGGCAGGATGCAGTCCAAAATGTTGCTGTGTGCATCTGTTTCTCTCTCCTAATTCACCAAGGCAAGACAAGAGGGTGAAAAACACCCTCACCCTTGCAGACTGCAGTGCACTGGTGACAGCTTTCCCTCTAATTTGGAGGGATGGGGGGCAGTTCGCTGTGGAGCACATGGAAGAAATGTCAGAGTTGCTTGACACCAGGTGGGAGAATGCTGGAAGTTGCTTCTGAGCCTCCACCCAGCTTTCGGCAGCAGCTGCTGTATTGATCTTGTGGCTGCCTGCTCTTCTGCAGCAATGCGAGCTTCCAACTCTGAATGACCAAGGTGGATAAACTTTATCATTTTTGGTTTGTGTATTTTGAGTTGTCCTTCTGAAATGCTTCCTGAAGAGGCTAAACTGCCTCTCTCTACCATAATAGTTTTTATTACAAACTCTTAAACCATGTATTGAATATGAGGTTTTATTCATATTCAACTAATTGATTTCCATGTTTGTACTAGTAAGACATGTGCCTATTGCACACATCAGCTGTTTGATTTCTGCTGAAATCTGGTGAGACGGTGCATACGGCCTTTCTTTAAAGGATGCTTATTCACTGATGTCCTTTTCAAGCAACTACAATCTGAATAATAAAACTTCTCATTTCTGAAAATAGGATTGGTTGGGTTCTGTCAACCGTGAATAGCAGTCAGACCTAGAGTAGGTCATGTTTCTAACAGTGTGTGATTGTATCCTGTGTAGGCGTACACCTAACAGCCAATAAACGTAACTATGGCAGTGAAGTAGAAGCTGGGTGGTAGGAGTTAACCTTGCATCCCTTGAAAATGAAACCATAGGCATACTAGCTGTGAAGAGGGGTATTACAGAGAGAGCAGAGTAATGTTCTGTTATGGAATAGGTAACCAGTATGGGAACATTTTGCTCAACAGTATTGCACTCTTGGGTTGCAAATGGACACCTTCCATTAATATTTTTGGATATTATTTCGCTGTTTATTTATTTTAGGATT